TAATCTAATCTAATCTAATCTAATCTAATCTAATCTAATCTAATCTAAAACAAGTGAAAACTGAACAGTTTGAGCAGTAAAGAACAGCTGATCATTTCTCGGTTTCAACTTGAATCAAAGCAAAATAAAAGGCAACAAACAATTGTTGGAAGCAACTCTTCTTCAAACTAGGGCCGGGCCAAATGGCTGAAAACTGTTTCAGGACAGAGAGTTTCATTGAACCAAGTCTGGAAGCTTCTGGAACTTCAATTATCCACGCTCCACCAGACACATTTTCTATTCATATTCATCACGTCTTTATCCTGATACGTATATAGTTATTGTTTTATGGCCCAGCCCTGCTTCAAAGATCAACCAGATTTAAGACTTTTCTAACTTTTCTCCACATCCTGAACGTTTCATTCTTCTGAGGCTGTAAAACCTCTTCTAGATCATTTGGTGAATTTGGTGGTCCACTCTGTGGACTTTCATGTGACTGTGAAGAGTGTCCTTTCTGCTAAAACAATTCCCACAAGTTTCACAAGAAAAAGGCTTCTCTCCTGTGTGGATCGTCGTGTGATCTTTAAGATGGGCCTTTCTGTTAAAACATTTCCCACAAGTTTTACAAGAAAAAGGCTTCTCTCCTGTGTGGACCCTCATGTGTCTGTTAAGATTTGAAGTATAACTAAAATGTTTTCTACAGATTTTACAAGAAAATGGTTTTTCTCCTGTGTGGACCCTCATGTGTTTGACTAAGTCACAATAAGCAGAGGACTTTATCCCACAGGTGGGACAACAATACATCAGTTTGTCAGAGTTCTGGTTCCAGACTCTGTGGACCTTCACATGATGGATCTGCAGTGATTTCTTTGAAAAMGTTTCTCCACAGATTAGACAAGGAAACAACCGCTCAGATGTTGCTGATTGGCCTRCTTGGTTACCATGATGACCCTCTGTGTGATCCRTCTTCTCATCTGACCCTGAATCCTGATCCTGGTCCTCAGGTCCAGCAGAACTCTGAGAGATGAGCTGCTCCTTGTCTGGTTCTGGTTCACTTTTTTTATGTAAAACAGTCACCAGAACCGGATCAGTCTCCTGCTTCAGGTGGAGCTGATCTTCCTCCTGCTTGGTGCAGAGCTCCTCATCCTCTACTTTGATCTGTGGAGGTTCTGGTTCCTCCTGGACTTCAAACTGTGGAGGTTCTGGTTCCTCCAACTGTGGAGGTTCTGGTTCCTCAAACTGTGGAGGTTCTGGTTCCTCTTGGTCCTCGAACTGTGGAGGTTCTGGTTCCTCCTGGTCCTCAAACTGTGGAGGTTCTGGTTCCTCAAACTGTGGAGGTTCTGGTTCCTCAAACTGCGGAGGTTCTGGTTCCTCCTCTTCTACTTTGATCTGTGGAGGTTCTGGTTCCTCCTGGTCCTCAAACTGTGGAGGTTCTGGTTCCTCAAACTGTGGAGGTTCTGGTTCCTCAAACTGCGGAGGTTCTGGTTCCTCTTGGTCCTCGAACTGTGGAGGTTCTGGTTCCTCCTGGTCCTCAAACTGTGGAGGTTCTGGTTCCTCCTGGTCCAGGCTGGAGTTCCTCTCCTGCTTGCAGAGCTTCTTGTGGACCCGTTCCTGTTGGAGGTCTGAAAGGACAAAAAGACCAAACAAAGAGATGAAATCTGAAAGAGAAATGTTCAGAGTTTGTTTGATGTTTCTTGTGTTTAGTTGTTTGTCTGGGAACATGTGATCTAATAACTCTGAGCACTGATCTGGACTCCTGGATTGAACATGTCCTCTTAGCCTCTACAGCTGCTGATGCTCCTCCACAGGAGACATTACTCTGCATTGAGTCATGTCAACAAAACGCTACAGTTTCAATCAGGGATGTGCATCAATCTGTAACTAACTCATGTATGTCACAGGATTGAGATTCAGTTAAGGCTCGTTCACACCGAGAGCGTTTTGAGCGGCAGGAGCTGCCAGTTTACATGCAAAGTCTATGG